TCTAAAACGTAGTTCAAAAAACACACCTATCCTGAATTTGCCAGACATCTAAATGTGAAAAAGTCCTGCAGGCTAGACTATTATTGCCCTATACAAATATAAGATATGCTACAAGACTGAATTCATTGATTCTTTCTAAATGTCTTCTCTATTGAGCAAGAACTTCAAGTTTTTAATAACATGCATAAGTTAATAACTGTAGTTGCAATTCAAAGGCACTTGATTGGAGCCATAATAGACCTTTCTTCTTGTTTTGCTTCCCTGGGACTTGTTGTCTTTAAAGGACAAAATGACAGTCAAACATGTAATCAGTTATGATGAGTGTAGTAGTCAGAAGGCTATCCTCCTTTGCTCCATTTTCTGAAAGTTTGTCTTTTTTTTTTTCTGTAGCAATAAATGTAATGTGCTCTAGAAATATAGGTAACCCTCTAGAGATATCTAGAGACATAGGTGGAAATAAGACTCGGCAATCCAGTCATGTTAATTAGGAAAGTAGACCCTTCCCTTTCTGTAGCACATGTAGAAAACATTTAGTGTACTGAACATACAGTAGAGACTCACAAAAAGAATGAAAATAACATGAGAAAACATGAAGTTTTGGAGCACTGTACCTCTCATAAAGTTAAAACTGCTCAGTCCTTAAACTGGATAATATTTTAGTGTTAGTACTCAAATTCAGAGTTTACTTTAAAGTTTGTAGGTTTAAGACACTTGTTCCTGTTTAATGAAACTAGAAATAAGCCTCACTTCCAGTATATTCCAGTCCTTTCTGTAAACCCAGCAGCTGAATATAATAAATAAATAAAGGGATAGGGGGTAGTAGTAATCTCATCCATCAGCTGAACTGTTCCCAATGTTGTCTCAGCATCTTGACAGGAAAGAAAAGGCACCAAAAAAAAAAAAAAAAAAAAAAAGAAGGAAATAGAAAGGTTATTAAGAGGTAAATAACAAAATGCCAAAGAGCTTTTTCCCAAGAAACCATCTGCTCCAATCACCACAAAATTGTGCAAGCATTGTGTTTTACTTCTTAATGCCTAAGGGCAGGTTTTTTGCCGATATTTCCAAGCCAACTTACAGGCCAAATCAGCAATTAACAGATTGATAGCTGCAGCCTCTGGAGCAATGGCTTGGCTAGTGGGATATACGTCTGATCAATGAGGAACTCTGGGAGGTGCAAGTAGAGGTTTTGAGTGATTATGGTAACAGTGAAACTGCCCAGAAGGTGTGACAAATAAACCATGAATATTGAAATACACCAAGGCATAACTGTACCTTTACTGAAAGAGACTGCCTCAATGAGTATCTGCACATCGTCAGCAGAACTATAAAGTTGCTGATTTTGCAGACATTTCTTCCGCAGCTTGATAAGTTAATATATATTGTTTAACATGATAATGTAGCAAGCTGTTGTTTTGTGGTTTGAAAGCCAGCTGCATTTGATTGATGCCAGGAATGGAAGTATTTATAAAATGACACTGAATTAGAAGTAGTCAGTTTATGGGTCTGGGGAAATGAATCTTTTATGAAGAATAAAACTTTATGATGAAGGAGTAATATTGAGGAAGCGTGCATCTTGAATTAAACTCTTTTGGACCGGATGTATGCTGTAGAGCCTTTTAAAAATTGGTGTCACACTATTTTTAGGAAAGAGATCTCTATAAACATCATCTTTTAGTGGTGGTCCAATCCCAAATGTATGGTCATGCATGTTCTCTCTGTGAACACACATCAACTAGAATAGGAAAGTTCTTCCCTGGAAATATAGCTATCGGACTTCTCTAAAAGGTCCCTGGAATATATTTTAGCTGCTTGTTTAAAGCTGTTGTGAGTTTTGAGGCATCAACCACAAATACATTCTAGCTTTTTTGTGTACGTGGGGTGTTTTTATTTGTTTTGTTTTACTGGAGTACAATATAGAGTAGGCACCACTGTGCTTTGAAATGAACGGACAGAGTTGCACTCTGTTTGTTTTGCAAACCTGCTTGTGAGCACAAGAGCATAAAGCATACATTTCTGAGGACAAGCTGTTCTCAGCATGGCTGCAGAAGCCTCGCACCAACTTTCAACTCCGTGCTAGGGCTTCCTTTTTGTTTTCAGCAGCTCCTCTGGTTGTGGTAGCCATGCAAGCTTATAGGTGATATTTAGAGAGGTGTAGTTTTCTGTATTGATGTTCATGAACAGAAAACAGATATCATCTTATATAGACTGTACTAATGCATAATGACATCTAAAGACAACCCCAAATTTTATGTGCATTTTTACATCTGTTATATGAACTTGGAGAATAGAATAACTTTTACTTGAATGTAAATGCCACTTTAATGGTAGCTAGAAACCAATATCTCAACACTTTTGTCAAAAGCAACATAGAAACAAATGGATGTAATTCTCTACAGCTTTCCTCCTGGGGCTAGCGTCTCTGTGCAAAATGAAAGTAAAATTCTGCTCTTCTGAGTTGCTGGAATTTCTTATGTATGCACGAGAGGAATGATTGCACAGAACAAGATAATGTCCAGTCAGTTGAAAGGTTAAAGAACTGTAGCTGGCAAATCAGATTCAGCCATTGTTTTAAGCCAGTTTTATGCCAGAGTGACTTGATATTTGGGGATGTACATCAGATCTTAAAGTCTACGTGTGCTTTCCACAGCCTTATTGTCAGAAATATTTCAGTAGAACCATCTAGGACAACTGTATAAATAGCATTTGTACCTGAGTATATATTTTAATCAGTTTCTAAATCTCTGCTGAGCATCAACTCATCTAATAAATTATTAATGGTAGTAACTGTATATTCATTTAGAATATAGTCTAATGTACTTGAGCATAGCATCTTATTAAATTGCATTTTTCAGGAAAGAGTTGTGTACTGAAACCCATTGAATTTCACTTATACTTGGGCACTCTTTAAGATCCCTTGAAGATTTGCCTTAATTCTGATTTATTTCACTAAAGTCTCGTGACTTAGCAGATCTTTGTGAAACACATTATGTAATATAATCTTATCAAAATGCAATAAATATAAAAAAATAGCACAGTGTGTTGTACTTGTGAAAAGAGTGTGAATCTTCGTTCTTCAAAACAGAAAGCTGCTCTTTTTTCTTTTTTCTTCTGAAGAAATCTCAAACAAAGTAGGTGAAAATATCAGGGCTAGGATCATCTTGTAATATTGGAAAACATGGCATGGTATCCAGTGGTAAGCTTCTTTTTGAGCTGTCTGACCTTTAATCACTGGTGAATAAAACCAAAATGCTGTCAGATCTCTGTTATTTTTCTCAAGGGCGTAACTCTGCCTGAAGTAGCAATGAAGCAAAACCTTTGAGAGCTTATAGTCAAGGTCGCTACAACAAGAGGCAATACTTAGTACTCTGGGAAGTACAGCAAAAGAAAAGAAGAAGAAATATATCTTAACAAGCTAGTGTTTGTTTAACAGTGAACCAGGCAGTTGTTGTGTCAGCCTATAAATGAAGCTGGGTTTGTTTTTACTTTTACCACAATATTTCATTTTTATTTGATTTTTAAGTGATCTGTGCTTCAAAACCTTCACAAAGAATATAAACTCACTATTTATCATTGTACACGAATGATATATATTTCTGTTCTGCAGGCACTTCCAGTGTAATGTCTCAGGCCTTGTCTGTACCAGGTTTTAATCACCTGTAGTTATTTTGCCACAGAAGGCAATGTGGATACTGAGAACAGATTATGTGGTCTTACAGACCTGTTAAGAAATGATAATTTGTATCTGAATTTTTTTTTTATCATGATATGTTAAAACAATACTTGCCCACTGAAAGTCTATGGGGAGAAAAGAAAGGGTTCACCAGAACGTAAGAATTAATCTCTAACAAAGAATTATAACTAACTTTGACGTTGTGGTATGCATTAGATAATGTGGTTTCAGTGCTAAGCTACTTACATGTAAATTGTATAGTTGATGGAATTTAAATTATTTTTTTTAGTTGCAATTTTTAGGCAAAAGAATGGAGACCTTCCCAGATTCCTTATTTGTATAAGTTTGCTAATACCTCTTGCTTTAATTTGTTACTTAACTTTGATTCACCATTGAAACTAGTTTGTTGATTTGATAATGACTTTTTTGTTATTTGGTAGGATTTTATTCTTTCTTCAGATCAATATTACCAGAAATAGTTTAGTTTTGGTGTGATGATATATTACTTCTAGTTTTGCGCTTTTGGGTTTTTTTGGGTTTGTTTTTGTTTTAAATAATGCTTATGTTTATTCCTATACATGAAATGATTAAGAAATTGTAATGATCTAGGGGTAAATATCTCTCAGTTCAGCCCAAGTGTCTAATTGTTTCCTTTCCTTGGTTGCCAATGTACTGTACAAAGCAAATAAAAGAACGCTATGACAGAATCTTGTGAGCTATGTCAGCCTCTGGTGTGTCTGTCTAAGGGAGAGGAGAAGACTTGATCCTGTGATGCAGGAGTATGTGTTCCACTAACAAAGTAGAGAATTGTCACCATCTCAGTCCTTGCTGTATTAACAGTGATGTAGAAGTGCAGTAGGTTTTTCCTCTGTACATCATTTAAGAATCTGTGCAGTCAACAGCATTTGCCTTATTGCACTCTATAGCAGAACTGTATGCTCTAGGATTTTTGTGTTGTTAAAACCTTCATCACTCGAAGCATAAATATCCTGTAGACTTTCTACCTGTAGAATTTAAAGTGAAGAAGATACATCAGTAGTTCATTAAGTGGCATGCAATTAATATGGATGGCAACAAAGCATACAAATATGGGGAACTTATGTTATGCAACAGGTCATATGTCTGTTGCAAATCAAAAACATCAGTCTTTTGTGGTTGGCTCAGTAGCAAGTAAAAATAATGCAAGTGCAGACTAAATATCAGGTGAAACTACTTAGTGGTCTTATAAGATAATTATGTATTGTACCTGTCTGGTTCTCACCTGTGAGGGCAGCATAATTTTACATGTTCTTGCTAACTGCATTCTGTTGTCTGTCCACCTTTCCCTTAGGAACAACTGTGATGCGTATGACAGCATTTGATGCCGATGACTCTAGCACAGACAATGCTCTTCTGCGTTATAACATCCTCAAACAGACACCTACCAAACCATCTCCAAATATGTTCTATATCGATCCAGAAAAGGGAGATATTGTTACAGTGGTGTCACCTGTACTGTTGGATCGTGAAGTAAGTGAGCATTTTCCTATTGCCAGTCTGACACGTTAACATTTGTGCCTATAATCCTCTTCCGTGATGTGAAATGAGGTTCAGAGTATTGCAGGGGTGAGGACTCGGGTGTTCCACTTTGAGGACTGTTAAAAGAGTTTTGTTTATTTCTTATTTGGGCATAAGAAGTTACATGCTCTGATCAATATTTATAAATCTAGTAGTTCATAATTTCTGGGCAGGACAGTGTTGGATGGTGAGAACAAAGATCTCAGGAATAAGTGGAATTCAACTTTGAGTTACCAGTTGACCACTGCGGGAGGGGGGAGGAAAAAAAAAAGGCAAAAAACCCCCAAATTGTCCATATAGCTCCATATAGTTTGCTATGAGATTGTAACAGTTTGGTGCTTTCAATCCTTCTCTAGAATTTTCTTTTTATTGAGTGGACTTAGTGGACTAATTAACTTGGTGTACTCCATAGGCAAAAAATGAAAATACAGAAAAGGAATAGTAAAGGGATGAGTAGTTTGCATGTGGTTGTAAGGTGAATTACCATAGTGCCAAAACCTATGTTTATTACAGATCATTAACATAATGAGAGCATAAATTGATAGCAAAGAAAGCTTAGGTATGATCATTTCGTTTTCAGAAGATAATAAAATAGAGCCAATTTGTTAAGACAAAGGTTTAGTTATCAGAATATGAGATCTGGGCACCACAGCAATGATGACCTAATCAATTACTCTATAAATCACCATTTCCTTTGATTATGGAGCCTTGCATGGTCTTAGATTCCTGGACACGACCAAGTTCTTTTCTTGCAGGCTGTTTCAGGTATGTGCTGATTTACTGAACTTGTCTTCTAAGTTGGTTAGATTCAGGACTACCCAATGTTCTCAATATTCAGCATGTTATTTTTCATATTAACCAGATGAAAATTATGACCATACCACTTCCCATTTTAAGTGAGTAGTTTTTCTGCAGGCTTTTCCAACAGCAGAAAAACCAGACATATCCCAGACACATAGTGCAGTAAAACTAAGGTCTGAGTCTGTAGATCTGTCTTTTTAAGTTTAGAGGGATTCCAATTCTTTCCTACTTTTGTGGCAGGCCACAGAATCATGCCCAAGTTAAGATTTATGTAATGGCTACCTTTTTGCCTCAAGTTTTCCTTCTAAATTCATTGTTTCGGTTCAAAAGCTTTATACTGTTTTCTAAAGTCAGTTTAGGTATTTTTATTCCTAATAGATAACCATTCCCCAGATTATACCAATTTACTAAAAAATTAGAAAATCAATGGACAGGAATGAACATGCCTGCTTTTCCTAGTATCTTCCAAAGGTCACTGGTGATTCATGAAATAATGATGCTGTCTCCATACAAGAAGTCTGGGCTCAATCGAACGGGTATTACAGCTGGGTAGTATATCCTGAAAGCAAGATCTGAATTCCTCATGATTTTTAGTAATAGTTGATTCAATACCTTTACTTTGAAGGTGACATGGCAAGCTGCAGTCTTGTTGAAACTGCAAAGTAATTTTTGTTGTGGCTGGGAATGCTGTATGTTTTATGAGCCAAAATGTAGGGCTGTGTAAAATTTTAACACTAAACCCAAGCATTATCTGCAGGTAAAGTCTAGTCTAATATTGTCTTGTCAGGTGAAACACTTGGGAAAACGTATGTTTTCCATTTCTTCACAAGGTGCTCTGTGTTGTGCTCTCTGTAATCTTTGTGGCTTCAGCCTCTTCTCCCCCTTCCTGCTTGTGTATGTTTTGAGTAGAAACTAGTAGTCATGCCTTCTTTTTTAAATTTATGGAGTTAGCCCTTCATGGTCAAAGATGTATAACTTCTATTTTGAACTGTAATAGCAGCTTTTAGGGACAAGTGGACTAATGATCCTATTCTAAACAATTCTGGATACCAACATAATCTTGATACTGTATAAATAACGCATGTATTTCTACATAGCTCATGAAATTGAATTATTGTAAAAGAATTGTCTGCCTCGGAGAGAGACAGGAGTAACATCTGGAGAAGGAAATGTCAGTCTAGCTACTGCTTAGAAATTAAGGTATCTGCATGTCACTGGGCTTGAAGAAGTGACTTTTAGGGTGCTGGAAAATTGGTGGCCGGGAGGGAGTACTATTTGCCACTCCTCTGTAGGATATCAGCTGATATTAGTGCCTTGTCGTTGTTCTATTTTCTCTGATGAACCTTTGCAAATCTTAACTGGTTTGGCTTTTTAGCGCAATCTATGCAGTGCGTTGTAGAAACATGGGGCAAAGAAATGGTCTTTCCCCCGAAAGCCTTGCCTAATAGGTGTGTAACATCAGAGGACAAAATTCTAGATAGAGATATTGAGTGATGGTTGGAAAAAGACCGTGTGAAACAGTATTTGCAAACAGGAGACAGGAATGCTTTTACCTCCTCAGTTCTTATGTTCTTTTGTTGACATCTCAGTGGAGAATGTATTCCAGTAGATGCGCACAGGGAACACCAAGCTTTTCGTTAATGTTTTCCATTGTTTGGAAAAGAGAATGGATGTTGAACAACTCAGCTGATCCTTTTTGATGACTGGGATTTGAGTCAGCAGTATTTGCAGGTAATGGTGTAGCTCATGAAGGTACATGTGGTATTTATATAGGGGGGCAGGGAGGACAGGTGCATTTCTGCTGGGGAATTCCACAGCTCCAGAAACTGCAAAAAATTGGTCCTGGTGAATCTCGTTATTCATGACTGCCAATTCAAACCAGCAGCTTCTCCCAGATTTTACTTAAACTTTAAATTAGGTCAGTTGCCTGTGATTTTTCTGTCTTTTGCTAGCTCTATTTTTTTTTCTGGTTGAATCTTATAAGCAAGTACCAGTGAAAAGTGGATTATTCTTAGTTGTTTCTTGTAGGTGTACTGTTTAAACTTTGTTAGCTGTAGACACCAATTAAGAAGCTGAATTAAAGTAAAACTTTCTCTAGGATGGACGTGGAGAAGGGGGAAAACTATTTCTCATAAACCGTATGTATGTGTACCAGAAGTTGATATGAACTGTTTTAAAACATGTTAAAACACTATTAAAATTGCTCATATTTTCCATCTCTTTTAGTAACTTTTACCACTGCTTGGATCTTGATGCTTTTGGGAAGCTTTCCATTTCATTTCATTTAATTTAAGACAAATTAACAGAATATAAATTGTTTGGGGTTTTGTTTTGGACTTTTGTTTGGTTTTTTTAAGTATCATTTATTTCATATTTGTGCATCAGAGGGAACAAAAGACTGGGGATATTGCCTAGTGGGAGGTACTGAGATGTGGAGATACAAGGCATCTGGAAGGTTTTGTGCATACTGTATAGTCTCTAGTCCATATTACTTTTCCATGCTTGAACGTTTTCAGAAAAATTGCTATGGCATAGCCTCAGAAATTCTTGTTGCAGTACAAAGAATCAAAATACAGATATTTACCCTAAAGTAAGATGAAGTTTGGCCATCTAGAGAGCTCAGGTTTTATAACCAATTGAATAGATGTGGGATAATCTTAGCATGCATAAGTAAACATCTAAGTTAATAATTTTAAGGAGATGAAAATCAAATCAAACAATTTTTCTGGTAATACTTTAGAATTAAAAGTAAATTCTAAGTAGACGCTTTTAAAATAAAACAAAATTTAAAAGAAAGGAAAAAAGGAAATAATTGTTTCTGGTGAACCTCAACCGTGCATCTGCTTGTTCTTTTAGCTGCACAGGATCAGCTCAAAATGAAGACAATTTCATTAAATTCCTACAAGCCTTCAAAATTTCTTTTTCTGTGACTGGCATTTATTAGGTCATTTGCTAAATTGAGAGTATGGAGATGGGAATGTTCCCTGGTGTGTTAAGTGGTCTCTCCTTCAAAGGCTATTCCAAAGCTGCTCTATGCATAAGGCAGCAGAAGGAATACGTAATGTGAAAGGCATCACTCTGTCCTTAGGGTTGTTTTCTTTCTTGCACTATCTAGAAACAGGAAGGTCATCTTAGGTCTTTTCTTTGAGTTGCTAGTCTGTTTTCAGATCCCCAATCTAGCTTTTTTGGTTTTTAACTTTGGTACCAATTGGATGGGTGTTTGATTTAGCACAGATAGGTGACACTGTGTGCTCTGGAGCTATTTCCATAGAATAGTATCAGCTGCAAAAGCATTAAGCAAAAAAGTCATTCTCTCCAGTATGCAGAAAAGTGTATGTAGGAATCCCACAGATTACATCCAGCAAGCTGCTGAGTGCTTTTGATTTCTGTTGACATCTGCTTCAGCCGAGTGCTTCATGCCTCCAAGGAAGGACTTAGCACCATGCAGGATTTGTATGGCCTGAATCTACCAGCGTCTTTTTATTTATAAATTTTTCAGATTCAAAATTGTTTCCAAAAGTGCATGATCCTCAGGGTTTGTAGTGAAACTCAGATAATTTCTCAAAGAACATCCATTTTCATTTTCAGAAGGAAGGTAAGGACGTATTTGTGAAGATTAATGTGAGATTTTTTCTTGTGGGAGATAGGCATCCTTGAATGTGTCAGCAATAAAGATTGAAGAGTGTTAGGGGGCAAATTATACCTCCAGATATCCATTGGAGAATACATTTTGATTCATAAATTCAGAGAAGAAGGATCTCCTCCATCAAACTGTATGGTCTAAATGACCCAAAATAGAGCACAACAGGAAAAAAAAATAGGAGGGAAGAGAAGAAAAGAGGAAAGAAACCTTGAGGAAATGTCCTGAATTTTGTATTTTAGGGATGGAGAGTCCATTTCAAAGTGACACTTCCCTGCAGTGAAAGAAAAATAATGCTCCTCATGTGCATGGGAGGAGAAAATGCTTGTACTCTTGTAGGATCAACTTTTAAATTTCCTTTATGGATCAGTAATCAGTTTTTCTGCTTACTCACAGTGCTATTTTGCCAGTGTTACAGACCCCTCTGCTCTGCAGGAAAGTAGCTGTACGATTTGTATAAATTTTATATGACTAGAGTACTGTAAGAAAGCTGCCACCACAGTTGCTTAAG